AGCACCTGTCGTGTTGGGTGGCTTGGTTTGGATTCTTTGTTTTTATTGCAAAGGCTTCTGTCTTAACCCTCCCCCCTTAGAAAAAAACCACAAAAAAAACTACATTTAAAAATATCACCTGTCATACCTACCTGAAATCGCAGAAGGTAAGAGAGGAACTGAACAGTGGGCCACTGAGTCGCTGCAAGAATGTGACCGACCGAGGTTACAGCTTCAAGGGCATGATGCGGGTTTGATGCAGCAAGGTCCGCTAAGGGCGCCCAGCGCTCCCCGCCCCCACGCGACGGGCGGAGCTGGGGAAGAAGGGGGGGCGGCCTCCTCTAACCCAGGGTGGGGGGCCAGGGAGGCTAACTTGCCTGCTTCTCAAATCACGCATAGTAAACTAGGAGTCTCAACCACCCACCAAATGGAAACAGACCATTCCTCAGTTTGGGGGACCCAGGCTGGGGACATCAAAAATAGCTGATTCTATATAAGCATAAGGTCATTGAATTGCAAATCTGATTTGCAATTAAATGACCTTAATTGACTTTGTAGGGGTTCCTGGGGAAAGTGCTCGAAGCGCCTGCACCTCTTTGACCTCCCTCTAAAAAGTTAATTATAATGTTCTCATAGCAGGCAGGCAGGATTGCTAAAAATGCATGTTTCCAAACGTTAGGCAAAAATAAAAAATAAAAAAATGGGCCTACAGATTTGCCAATCCACGCCTAAACCTCTTAGAATGCCCTACGCCCTACTTCCTAAAGCTGACTTCTTGAAGTTATAGGAAACCTCTCCAGTTTTACAAGTCTTCCAAAATACTTGGGCCTGCAAACTGCGTTCTAGTGCAGAACTCCAGAACAGGACAGCTTTACAAAGTGGGGTGCCCACGCACTTGGTTAAGAGAGAGAAAGGCGATGGAGTGGTGCCAGGTGTAAGACAGACCCAGGGAATGACAGCAATAACGAAGAGAAACGGTTAAATTTTTAAACATCCCCCAAAAGGCAACTTTGAAGCACTCAACATTTTCGGGTTTTTGCGCACTTATTTGCTCAGATGCCGAGAAATATGTTAGATGCCCCATGTGAGAAGCCATTTTACCAACGAAGCCTTATGAGACCAAACAGATTCCCAGCCCTTCCAATCCCCCAAACAGGCACACCATTTCCCTGACCTTTAAAAGCCGATTTCCAATTAGGAAAATTCCTTTGGTTACCATTGTCTGCTTTGTCCCCTCCCCCACTCTAAGCCTACATTTTTTTTTTTTTTAGGTTGCAGTGTAGGCCTAAAACATTAAGCACCTCCATCTCCCTCCCACTCCCAACATCCAGAGATGAGTAAAACAAATAGGAGTGTGGGGAAGGGCTGAAGGGTTAGAATCTTAACCCACAGTTTTTGTGCATGAGGAGGGGAGGGGAGAGAACCCGTGCATTTTGGGGAGAAAAGTAAAGAGACATCAAACCCGGTGCAGCAGTGTTAGGAGTAAACACTAAATGATCGACTCTTTCTCTCACTCGCGCCACAATACAGCCAGCTGGTAATTACCAGAGAAAATACCCAGCCTCCACATCAGTTTCGCTAACCCGCACTTGAAAATGGAAAACGGGGAACACATCCAACCTCCAATTTGCCACAGTTGTATAGCTCTCGTGTTAATTCTTTACAGACGTGAAATAGGTGGGTACGCAGCAACGTGCTGGGCATAAATTAAGCAACAATGGCCACTCGAGGTCCGGTTCACCGCGGAGCTCCACGGTGGGCACTGCCACCTTGACATCCCAAC